CCGCGCCCGAGGGGGCTGCCCGGAGCGGCCCCGCCGGCGGCGGTCGTTGCCCGCGGCGCGGGCCCTCCGGCCGCAGGGTCTCGCTTCCCTCTGACACGCCCGAGGGCGTAGCGAAGGGCTGCGCGCTGCCGCGCCCCTTACAGACCCGGCGCACAGATCAGGGGTACCGTGGCCTTCTACCTGCAACCGGAGGCAACGGGCCGTCTGCCGAAACAGCTGACAACCGCAGTCATCCCAGAAGAACCCGTTTGTCTTTTGGTCCCGACCTCAGACGGGCTATTCGGGGAAAAACGGCTGCTACGCAACTGCCCGGCCGAGGCTGCGTCACAACCACAAGGCCTCCGTCGTGCCTCAGAGAATGCTTCAGCGTCCCTTTCCCGCCCGCAAAATCGCTCCTCATGGGACGCCCAAATCTTTTAAAGTAGAAAAATAAAACGACTCCGTTAGATTGTCAAGTTTGCAAATGGCTAATTAGAAAAATATTTTTAATGGGGTGGGTGGACATCAAATCTATTCAACTGCTAGTCAGCCATCAATAGAAAATCCTTCTCAATCACAAACTCGTATGTAGCGTGTTGTGTCAACCTTCTCACTCTTCATATGGGTTTTTATTAAAGCTATTACTACGCAATTGTTTTTAATATTAAGGAAATGCCTTTATTGTGAACACAATACTTCAACAGTGGCCAACAAACTCTCTTCCGTGCTTATTCTGGACCTCCACGCTGTAAAAGACAAGCGGACAGTTAAATACATTCCACTAAAAGAAGGGAAATGGAGATCAAAGCTTCTTTTGCACTGTTACAGACTAAGAGACTTCTATTTTCTGATTTATACACTGATTTTTAATCCATACAAGGACATGCACAGAGTGTCAAGTATCAACATCTACCAGCAACAGCTCACACTTTTTTCAGGGCAGAATACGAAAAGATCAACACCTGTGACCTACAATTACAGATGCTTCCACTCTCCCACTCTGAAGAAACCCCACTCTTACTCACTTCAGAAAGGTCTGACAAACGCAGCAGTAGCGAACGCAAGTTTTAGAATTATTTTCACTGCCCAAATTCCAAAGTGCAAAGTAAAAACAAAGCCAAGGTGAGCCATGACAATCTTTATGAGAAATCAGAAAGTATTCACAATTCATTATTTTCCCAAGAAAATTATTTTACAACTTACCTCACCGTGAGAAAATTTATGCTAGAGGTCAAGAAGGGTATTACTATGGGTAATAACTCATTTTATTTCTAATTATAGTACCCTACCCACACACACACAGGAAAACTGCTTTCCTCTACTAACATGATTACACTGTGTAATTAGGTGTCCTTATCATTTAACAAAACTATACGCAAGCATCTTTTCATTTCAAGTCACAACTATCTCATGAGTTCTTCATATTTTGCGCATTCTCCCTTTTAAAGCATCAGTGTTTATGACTGAACACTGTTCAGAACAAAAGCAGGTTTTTCTTGCCTTTCACGTACAATGCCATATTTGCAAATACTGCAGAAAAAAATTTTATCAAGTTTAATAAAATGTTTCCACTACTAGAAATACAAGAGTTAACTTACTAATAAATAACTTATAAAAACTAGTTTGAGAAGTATTTTGGACTTCAATCACCCGGTAATAGCCTTTGCTCATCTACGAGCAGACTCCCGTGCTCCTGTCCAGCACATTCAAATTACACATTAAACAGCTGTTACAAAACAGGTAGTGATGGTAATTAACGTAGGCTACGACTATCGCAAGCTATGTGCATGTCTGTTTTAAGTCCATATCTCTCTACTTAGCGATACCACAAGCTACTAATTAGTGAGGGCTGGGCACCCTCTGTATTAAGAATTTGTAGCTTGGGTGTAGTGCATCAAAGCAGTGAAAGCTCAGAGCACACACTTAGCAAGAATTGCAGTGTAATACCATGTCTGAAACTTTGAAGAAGGTGTAGAAATATAAGCTAAATGCTAGGTAAATACAGACAATACACACCAATCAATGAAACTTACTTGAATATATTCAATCTCTTCATCTGACATAAGTTTCCTTCTGTATTTCTGAGGTAAGGTTCTTGCTAATTCAGAAGTGTCTGGTGTACCTTGTACTCTACTAACAGGTGAAATACTTTGAAAGGCCGGTGATCTGCCTCCTACAGAGTCCTGTGCTTTTGAAGCATGGAGAGACGGCACACTTGCTTGTAGAGATTCCTGTACTGAAAGCCAGATTGCAAGACCATTTACAGAAATATAACAAGACTGTAAAATCAATTAATGAGCAGGCAATAAAAGTTACCAGTTATTGACAATTTTCTTCATTATAACAAATACCTGAAAGAATTGAGACACTCTTGCTTCTCACAACCTGCTTTTATTGTTGTTAAATATATCAAGAGCAAAGTGAAAAAATTCTGACAATGAGAGAAAGCATGTTTGAGTGGCAGAAATACTGATGTGGAAACAGAAGATAAATCAGCATATAACCTAACAAAGGCTTTTTCACTGGGAAGCTGTACTTACAGAAGAAGCATAAAGTACCATAAATGTGTGTGTGTAGGCAATTATGTAGAAAGATAAACAAAGATAAATCACTAAGATCCACTGAGATGATGCTTTTTGTGTTTGCGTACTGCAACTGTAAAGACAGACAAGTGAAAAAGAGGTAGAGACTTACAGAACAATAAAGCTCAAAACTATAACATATCACAACATGCAATGCAGTATTGTACCCATTTTTAACATTACAAAATGGCAACATATCAAATTTTGTTAATGATGTGCAGAATGACCACCAAATATCAGGCATCAGCAATCAATGTTTATGAAATGTGGAGACCAAGGAGTGCATCAAGTAATTTATGGGTGAGGCCCAGAAGGTAGGCTTACGGAATTCATATTAGAGAAGTCGCCTTGAGTTTGAGGACAGGAGAAGAGATGACAAAAGGGCAGTGTTGTCAAAGTCAGCATTCTGAACCTTAGGTCTGTCCCACCATGGCTGATTTTACAATGGAAGTATGCAATTACCCCACCAGCCAGGACCGAGTCTCACAGCAGGATGTTTACTTCATAAGCACTCAGACCTCTCTATATAAGGTTAAAACACCTGATGAAGCAGAATGCTTCCACAGCAAGTCCCTCTCAGTGCTCCTGAAAAACGAGCAAGACAGATGAAACATCTAACATCTGGGACAGAGGGACTATATAACTGTAAAATAAGCAGCATCAAGACTGGATGAGTCAAAGAATGCGAGGAGTTAAAATACCACAGCGTTGCCTGCCTCTCTCCCTCCTGCCTCCAGCAAGACCAATGAGGACAAAGGAGAGCAGCCAGTTTGGGCCATAGTGAGTCTGAGTCAATGGCAGGGTTGGGACATCAGACACCTACAGCAATGTGATCAAACCACATTGGTTAAAAAAAAAAACAAGCCACCATTGAGAAGCATATTCAGAAGTTCTCAGTCTGAAGACTGTATCTGAAAGTTCCACGTCGATCAGGTGGTTCAGGAACAATGGAAGGTCCCACGCAGAGCGAAGAGGAAGAGAGTCCATCGGAAGGAACATATTCTGAACAGGGGGGCAAACTATTTTTGTTTCAAGAAATAACACACCTTATATGTGAAAAGTTTCTCTGGGTTTTTTTCATACACCACAAAAATGTCTAGAGATTGCCAAGGATTTTCCTCTACTGTATGCTTTAGTCTGAAGTGTAGTTGGAGTAGATGCATTAGCCAATTAAAAACATCAGAATTCAAGACTCAAAAGTACCAGACTTAATACTGCTGTTGCTTTAGCTCAGATACAGTCTCTACTACATTCTTCCCTTCCCTGTTCGAGACCTGTCATGTTGCAGTAGTAATACGGTAGAAGAATTTGTCTGGCCTTTCAAGCACCCACACCCCTAAAAGTTCAGTCTTGATCTGCAGAGCTCTGTTTGGCTAAGTAGAAGCAACAGTCTGGCACAGTGAAACACAGTTATTGCTACAGCATTCAAGCAAGATGAGGCAGACTGCAATTTACTAATGACATGACAGAACCTCATTAAGGTAGAAAAGTCTAACATGCTTAAAAGATACAGTCACAAAAATCTTCTGATGCAGAGATAAACGAGGTAAGTAACACCGTTTCAAGGCTTTGAGAAAGCACTGGCATGAGAGGTGGTGCATTTGGCTGAACTGTACACAACATACGGAATTCTGACAGAAAGTTATTGCAGAAAATAGTTCCTGAAGAGTTCACAGGTAAGTTAGAAATGGCACTGATGTGCTCTGTAGATACTTTGTAATGTTAATGGATAAACTAAACTTAAAGCTAAATCACAAACGAGATAATGCTGCAGCAAATAATGTGGTACAGTATGATTTCTAAACAAGTGAGAATAACATAACAGCTTCTTAAGACGTCTCCTACTTTAGTTTCAAATGTTTTGTTGACTCAAAAGGAGTATCAACATACTGCTCATATAACTTTGGTGTCTAAATGTAAGCATATTGGGAATCCTCTAAATATCAACATAGCTATGGGTATAAAAATTAATGTCAAAGATTGCAATGAAATTGATTTTTTCTCAGCCTTAATTAGTAGCACAAGGAAACGCTTCTTAAAATGTACAGTGGAATGGCTCTCCCAGCTATAATCTGGGTTTTAAATACTACAGACATCACACATTCCAACTAAGAAAAGAAGAGATGAGGAAAATGCAACAACATTTCTGCAAGTATCACCGAATGCCTAAAGCTGCTTCAAACTGACTTGGGCACAATCCTTTCAACCAAATATTAGTATTCAGAAAAATGGGACTTTATATGAGTAGAAAAGCAACACTTGAAATCTTTGTGAATCTGCCTTGACCAAGAAATAAAGCCATGCATGTATTATGTATATTCCCACAGTTGTATAGAGTCTGAAGAGTCAAAGCATTGCCTTCAAACTAGAACAACTGTGTTTCAGAAACCCTGCTCAAAATCAGTTGAGTCGTGTAGCTGAAGCAGAAAAACTGTGTGCTAGTTCTTATATAAACAGTTAATGCAAAGAAAGGCGGCACAAGTTGTATCTAGAGATTAAATAACTTACTTTTAGGTCTGGGACTACTTTTTCTGTCCGGGAACTTAATTAACGGCGTATGTGGCTTGACTACCTAGAACAAGGCAAGGTAGCAGGAGAAACAGGGAGAGTAAAATACATTTCTAGACACACATTACCTTTGCAATAATAAAATGGAACATACAATGTATTAAACACCCACTTCTATACCACTGCTTTCTGCACCACCGCTCTGATACACTTATTACCTATTAACATTCTATGTTCACCCGGAGAGACACTTCACCCTTAAAGGCAGTCCTCCACCCTAATGTCCTGGGCAGAAACAAGCGTTCTCCTTTTCTCACAGCGATCAGTGCGTGCGTGTGCAGAAACGGCTAACGCAGCAGCATAAAAGCTAATTTAAAATCTTTT